AGTTGCAGTGCACTAGCCTTCCCCTGTTATTATTTCACTGTCCCAGCAGTAATAGACCATTGAAACAGGTAGCGACACACTTTCTTTTAGCAGACTCAGAGAACATGGCTTCTCCCCTGTCCTCTTCTTTCTGCCACCCTAGCCCTTTCTCCTCACACGACAGGGCAAAGGGCAAAGTTCAATATCTCAAAACTTAAAGCAAAACAGTAAAATATAGCAGTCTATTACACTTATGTATGTCTATAGATAATATAAATATAGATTTTATATTGTTCATCCTATTTTTCCTACTTTTAGTTACTTTTTTTCACATGGTCCTTGAACGAAATAAAGCAAAAATGCACTGGAAATATATACACAATATTTTGCAATATACTTTATACTTTTGCCAATTTCGCACTCTTTGTTTCATCTGAAATGTTTTCTGCTAATTGTTTGCATGGCTAATATTCGTCCGAACTGAAATGCTATATGAATGAATGGAAATGTAAAAAGTTTTATTTTCATCTCCAAAGCTTAAAAGCCATAACTCCACTTGAAACAAATCATAGCCACGCCGCATCCTTACCACTTTCACCGGCGTACTCCACTCTAGGTACATCATCTCTGGGAAACCTACTTCCTTGCTTGCCTTTTTTAAAGCACCGCAACGCAGGGTAGGCTCCTCCACAATTGGAGCATTCATATTTGAATCTGCAGGATCAATACTACCTGCAGTAGCTCTCGTTAAAGAACCAACAAACCCCTTTGCGCTGCCCAGGCGGAAAGGGGGACGGCCGACAGGGATTCATGACCAGCAAGCATAGGCTCCCGTCCAGGATCACAAAATTCAGGCCTGGACTCACTGCCAGTTTCTGGTAAATTTCTGGTCATACTTAAACCAGCATTGACCCCCATATATCTTATACGTCCGCCAAATCAGGTCTAAGTACCAAAACAACGCTCTTCGCCTTCTCTGGAAAACTCTGCGTTAAAATGCTTGCATAAATAGAGAACCCCTGCAGCCAGTTGCCAAATGTACGTGGCAGCTGCTTACCTTTTCCCCTATCCGACATGTCAACTCGTCGTGGCCTATCCACTGATTCCCTATCCGGGGGCACCTTTAATAATTTTGTCCCTGATGTCCAGCAACACATGCATCCCTAATGGGGACAATTTGCAGCCCGGAAATCATGGACGCACTCCCCCTGGGAGCACACCCTCAATACTCCTACCCTGGCTCAGGAACTGGGCAGGAAGGGGGCAAGGGGCAGAGCAAGAATCAACCCCAGGAAGCCTATCTAGCACTGCCCTTAGAAAACTCAGCACCTCAGCAAACCTTCTCCATCTCCCCCTCTCCTGGACCCAGCCAGAGCGTCCCAGGTGCTGGCGCAATACTCACGGTTGGCTGCCTGAGGATCCTGAGCAGGAACCACCGTGGCCTCCTCATCTGAACCATCAATGAGATGAAGTGGTGTTGGCAGGGCCGTCTTTAATATTGATTGGACCCTGGGCAAAGCATTTGCTTGGGCCCCTGGAACCTGTCCCCCCTCACCAGGCGTGCAATCACGTCCTCCACCCTAACGAAGTGGCAGACCTAAAGTAGAGAGGTGCAAGAATTTTTTTGAGCCTCCCTATCGCACGGGCGATTAGAAGGTAGATCCCCATCTGTCGTGCAACTCCAGCAATGCACTGACAGCTGGGGCTCTTCCATTTACCCATGTTTGAAGGTTTGTATTTAGCACTAAGCTGTTGTGTGTTTGAATGTTAGCAGGTTTTTGTATGGAATATGTTTGTATGTGGTGTTGGCGTACGTGCAAGCATGTATTTATGTGTAGTGTTGGTTTTTGAATGCAGGGGTGTGTTTACATATAATTTTGGTGTGTAACTCAGACATGTGTTTTGGAGTTTGAATGCCAGTGTGTATTTGTATGTGATGTTAGTGTGTGAATGCTGAGATGTATGCACATATACACACACACATATATCAATATATATATATATATATATATATATATAAATATATATATATATTTATGGCACACACAGACAGACATACTGACACACACACAGTCAGACCTACTGACAGACAGGGACCTACTGACAGACACACACAGACATACTACACATACACAGACCTACTGACAGACACACATACACACACAGACCTACTGACAGACACACACACAGACCTACTGACAGACACACACACACACACACACACATAGACCTACTGACAGACACACAGACATACTGACACACACCCAGACAGACATACTGGCATACACAGACACATACTGACACACACACACAGACATAGTGGCACACACAGACAGACATAGTGGCACACACAGACAGACATAGTAGCACACCCAGGTAGACATACTGGCACACAGACATACTGGCACACAGACACACAGACATACTGGCACACAGACATACTGACACACACCCAGACAAACATACTGGCATACACAGACACATACTGACACACACACACAGACATAGTGGCACACACAGACAGACATAGTGGCACACCCAGGTAGACATACTGGCACACAGACACACAGACATACTGGCACACAGACACACAGACATACTGACATACACACAGTCAGACCTACTGACAGACACACACTGGCACACAGACATACTGGCACACAGTCAGACCTTCTGACACACATAGACCTACTGACAGACACAGACACACACACACACACACAGACATACTGACCCACAGACATACTGACCCACAGACATACTGACACACAGACATACTGACCCACAGACATACTGACACACAGACATACTGACACACAGACATACTGAAATACACCTATGCAAACTTTAAAGCTCCCCTCCAGTTTCCTACCTTCCCTGGGGTCCAGTGTGCTGGCTTGGGTGGTTGGGAGTTGGGGACTTGGTCTCTTTCCTCAGTCCGCCTCCTCACTGCGTCCTGGCACAGGCTCCCTCCCGCGCGGCTCATCATCTCTGAGGGAGGAAGTGACTTGCGGACGTCACTTCCTCCCAGTGCTGCTGTAAAGCAAGGGGCCCGGTCGTGCTGTTAAAGGGTCACAGCACCCGACCGGGCCCCTGCTGAAACGTGCTCACCGGGTGGCCCTAAATGTATTGGCCACCCGGTGAGCCTCCTTAGAGTATGGGCCCCGGTGCAGCCGCAGTACCAGCACCGCGGGCCCATGGGGGGGGGGATTTTTCTTATGCAGGCTATGGGCGGCGGGGCAAATAGGGCAGCTGCTTTGGGCCCCCAAGGAGTAACTGGGCCCGGGGAAGCTGCCCCGTTTGCCCCGCGTTAAAGACGGCCCTGGGTGTTGGTGCCTAAAGTGTCCCTTTTTTAATTTTAACATTTACATATTAAAAAAAAAGAAACAATAAACGAATAAGTATATAAGTAAAAACCAATATACGTAGTTGTTAGAATGGCATTACGTTTAATGAATTCATGATAAGTAAATCTTTTTTCAACAAAGTAAATTGTAATAGTTACATTAAAAAAAAGCTGTCATAAATGTCAATGGCTGGATAATGTCCCTAAAGGACAATCCTGTTAGTATTATATGGAATTAGATGTACTAAGGTGAGTGATTTGGATCAGATACCAATGACTTATTGTAAGGTTTAAGATTTATATTTAAATTCTACTATCCATGTACAAGTATCTCTATTACTATCGCACATTACATTTAATTTCTAATACATGCTATGTTAATTCTACTTTCACCCGTTCACATACAGGTCTACTATAAGTCTTCTGTCCTATTAGATTTTCATTACTTTTGATACATTCAGATGCACATGCATGAATGAGGGAAGCAAAAACTCAGTTTTTATTCAATTTCTCACTGCAGTTATTTGGTCCTTAAAAATGTAAATTTGGTTTTGATTATCCTGCATTACATGGCTTACTAAATAAACCTTTACAAACATTCTAAAAGTAACATTTTTGGAGGGATGGTCATAATCTTTTATTTTTTGACTGTTAAAACTGATGATCTGCATCTACTCACCTCTATTTTATCATAGCTTTTCATGTCATTTCTGTTCCAACCCCAATATACATTCTTTCTGGTCAGTTACTTTATTTGTCATTTAAAAAAAAAAATAAACCTATTGCCCAGACCCTCTCACATAAGCACCAAAATACTATCTTCCTAGATTATTAGCCTTGTTTGAGGACTATTGTATAGGCTAACTGGCATTTTGTCTGTGCTAAAGATAAAGATACTACCAACCCGGCACATAATGTAAACAACTTACAACATAAAAAACAATGTGAGTTTATAGCTTATTAGACTGTGTGCATTGCTAGTTTTAATGAAATATTTAGGTAAATGCAGATGTCTCTATAAATCAGTATAATGGAAAATTTCAAGTAGCTTTATTTATTTCAGAGATCTTTTATAAAACAACGAGTAACATTTACTTAGCATTATTATCAATGTTTGTTGGATTTCTTTGCTCCTGAGACCATAGATTATTGGATTAAATAATGGTGTCACCACCGTATATAACAAGCTGAGGATCTTGTTTACGTTTGTTGACTGTCCTTTTGAAGGTGCCAGATAAATAGCTAATAAAGTCCCATAGTACATTGATACCACCATGAGATGAGAACTGCAGGTGGAGAAGACTTTCTGCCGTCTTATAACTGATGATATGCTAAAGATTGTCCCAAGGATAAACATGTAGGATACAATAATAATCATAAATGGTAAAAGCACAACTATAACTGTAAGGATAAATGATTGAATTTGAACTGTGCTTGTGTCTGAGCAAGAAAGTGTTATTAATGGAGAAAAGTCACACATGAAATGGTCAATATATTTAGGGCCACAGAATCTGAGTTTTCCGACCATCACTATCAGCGTAAACATGAACCCAAAACCAGCTGCCCAGCACCAGATGGCCATTTTGATACATAAACTGATGTCAATCAAAGAATTGTATCGTAATGAATTACATATAGCCAAATACCTGTCATAAGACATTACAGCCAGGAGTAGGCAATCAGTAGTTGCAAGAGATGCAAATAGATAAAACTGGATCAAGCAACCTGCTAGAGACATTTTTTTAATATCATTTAGCATGAGGTGCATCATGTTGGGGGTTGTTGTAGTGGTGAAGAATACTTCTGATAAAGACAAGTTACAAAGTAAGACATACATGGGAGTGTGGAGGGAGTTACTGCTGCAAACCAATCCAAGGATCAAGATGTTTCCTGTCACTGTTATAACATGAGTAATCAGGAAAATTACAAAAATGAAATTCTTATAGTTTTGCGAAACATTGAATCCCAAGAGTATAAATTCTGTTAAAGTAGTCTGATTGTCCATGTTTATCACATGTTTAGAGCCTGGGAATGAATGAAACCTTTTCTGGTTACACCACAATTCCATTTCTGGTATACCCAAGTCTATAGAGTATGCCTAATATTGGTGTAACCGCCGAGTCAGCCATTGCACATATTACTCACTGTTCTGCAATATCTCTTATATTCTAAAAAGGACCAACATTGTAAATCCCCTCATTCAGATGGCCCTGTAAGAAAAAAATAATCTAAAAAACAAGACAAAATATGGAAATCGATATTTTAGTTATATATTTAAAATGAGGGGTATTTTAAAATCACTAATGAAATAACTAATAGCCAATTTTTGATATTTGCTAGTATGCCAAAATAAAAACGTGACAGTGTGGCTTTACATACAGATCTTCTTTCACTAAGGAAATATTTAATTTCCATGCATATGTGATGTTGGTAATTTTTGCTCTTGTTTAAAATCTAAAAGTTTAAGAATTATTTTAGTTCAGTTTATTATCATCTAGAATTACCCAGTGATTGGTGTGCATTTTGTCAACAGCCTTAATTTTGATAAGTTGCAAAACATTGCCAGTCCTCTTACCTAAAAGAACAGTTCTACTAGTTTTAAGTGATTTTCTTGTTCCAAGTATCTTTCCTCGAAATATCTTATCTCTTTAAGCACATGATTACTTCTTTATATATTTACCATCACGTATTAAACTTCAAACAGCATTGATACAATTTATGTATACTTTTTAGATGGTGACATTTCGTAGGCTCTTTCCCACAAGACATGCACAGAAAATCCCATTGGTATATTTATGTTAGGAATAAACGTCCAGGGATTGTTCCGCTAATTACTAACCATGATATACTTTGGGCTTTATTCATTAACAGAATTTTAGTGAATTGCAAAATTTAGTAAAAAATGGGCAAAACAGACTATATGCGGATTATTTTTCCAATTGTTGTTTTTGCCTTATTTTTTTAAATTGTTTTTAGTTCACTACCACTCAAAGATGTATAATTAAACAATCCATGGTTATTGTTTGTGAGTGTTTATTATACATGATACTTAAGAATGATGAAATTGTGAAGTATTTAACAGCTCACTAGTTAAAACAATGGCTATTATTAAGAGATTATTTTATTATTATTTTTAAACTATATACTGTATATTTTTTGGAAATTTCCACTGTGGACTTCTAGTTCCAATCCTCAAATGATTTTCTCTTAGAAAACACTGTCCATACAGATGATTCTAAGGCAGACTTGTTTGTTGAGCCTTTATTTATTGTGCACTGTTAGCAGTTTTGTTAAGGTTTTCATTATATTGATTCACCTTGTCCTGGTGCCATCCCAGTGTAATTTGTTAAACCGTTTTAGAACAGTTTGACAATTTATCTCAGTCATACCAGGTGCCCATGGCTGTATTGCCTGCTCTCAGATTCTCATGCAGGAGAATCCAGTTAATTATAGTGATCTAAGTAGGGCCATGCAGGACTGCGCATGAACTGACCACTCTCGAACAATGAGCACAGTCTTATGACGAAATAGCAGGGCTCAATCAGACACTTCTGTTATGCGTATGTGCGGCTTTGCGCTGCACCAATCGCGTTCTTTGTATGCAAAGTTTGTATGCAAACACTATATATAGAGATATCTCTCTTTATAGTGTTTTTAAACAAACACACATTTTAAATAAATATTGTCACACACACACACACTATCTATATCTATCTATCTCTATCTATTTCTCTCTCTCACTCACCAACTCAATCTCACTCACTCACTCAATCTCACGCGATCTTACTCTCTCACGCAATCTTACTCTCTCACTCAATCTTACTCTCACTCAATCTTACTCACTCTCACTCTCCAATCTCACTCACTCTCATTCTCCCAATCTCACTCACTCTTACTCTCTCACTCATACACTCACTCTCAATTTTAAAATAAGTTTACTTACTGTTTGAAGGTAGTAGATTCTCCTGCCTCCTGCTTTCAGCCTGTCAGCCCGGGCCCACGCTATGCGCAGGAGATTGTTATCTCCCACACTAGGCTCTTATTGCTCACAAGCTCCGGGTTACTACAGGAGACAGGAGGCGCGTTCACAGTGCCTCCTGTCTCCTGATAGCATGTTTGATGTCTTCACCCAAGCGTGAAGACATCAAACGTGATGAATGCGAATTAGGGATTCATGAACTCGGAAGTTATTCTGGTTGCTGTTTAAGTGACTGCCACTGGAGGTGTTTCTAGCTTCCAATGTAAACACTGTATTTTCTCAGAAAATACAGTGTTTACATGAGAAAGGCTGCATGGAGCTATTGTTCTCACCTGAACAACCTAATTAAGTTGTTCAGGTGACTCTAGTGTCCCTTTAACCATTTTCTCATTCAAATGCATGTATATTTCTTGATGCATTCTACTTGGTGGTATTTAGGGGTGTCTGCACATGTAAGAATGTCTAAGAGGGTCTTTAACAATGTATTTTTGTGTTTGAGTAAACATCTAAGGTTGAATATGAGAGTATATGAATGTGTCAGAGCGTATGCTTGTATAGTATGGGTGTCTTAAGAGTGATTATTTGAGATTGATTGTGAGAGAGTGTGTGCTTAAGAAAGTGTATGAATGTGTCTGTATTTGTGTCTGTGAGAGTGTTTGCAAGAGTGTCAAAATGTGTCTATAAAACAGCATCAGCAAGTTTTGGTGTTTACAGACTATAAAAGTGTCAAAGTGTCTATTTACAAAAAATGTTGTATTTGTAGAAATGCCACTTATGACATAAACAGTAACACTCTCTCAGTGTTGCAACTGAGTGAGTAGTTCACAGGTTATTTTTTCATTTAATAAAAAAGTGTGTACATTTGCCAGGACCAGATTAAGAGCCCAGTGGGCCAGGTGCTGACAATTATGAGGGGCCCAAGTACAGAATCTTATCAACCAAAAACACTAAAACAGTCATAACTCTCGTTATGTATCTGGTGGAGATGTTGCCAAAGGGAAACTCATAGGAAGCAGCTATAAAAAAACCTCAGATTCTCCTAAAATATGCTAATCTCTCTCTAATTCATGCTTTCATCTTTCAAGTAAATCCATACCCCTAACAGTAGTGTCCAGTGAAGCAGGAAGTCAATGGGCGGTGTAAAAGGGTGGGCTACTGACGCAGATCATGTAACCAGAACTTCCGAAAGGGATGAACATGCCCAAAAAGGAGGTATATCTGCCCAAATAATTGGAAGTCTAGCCTGGCATGAATGTATGTCAGGTTGTCTGCCAATCATACATGCTGGCCAGCAGCATCCTGAGTTTGGCATAAATGCGTCTAATGATGCGCTCGCTCCATGCTTTCTAAGGACTGTCCCCTAGCACTCGCTGGTCCACTTGTCTCCTTACCTTCTTACTAGCAAACAGAAGCTCCTGGTATACAGTCTGAGACAGAGAAAAGGTAGATGTAGTGAGCATAGGAGAAAGGGAACATGCCTTAGTGTTAGAGAGACCAAAGTCAGCATTACCTTAACTAATTTCATTTCAGCTAGTCCACACAAGTTTTTTTTCCATATATCCCTCTTAAGATTCCATACTTAAGCAAGAGTATGTGAAGAGTAGTTAGAGTTGCCACCTTTCTTGGAAAAAAAATACCAGACTTAATAATTTGCATAACTAATTATGTATGTGTGACATCACATGATGTAAATCACAAGGAGTGACAGAGAAAATTCTGTGAAATCACCAAAAAACTACTTAGTTTGATTCTGCTGTATAGATGGATTGCTCTCAGTGTCTCCCTGTATCCCCATGTCACCCATTGTCCCGTAGTGTCTTTGTCCCCATGTCTCCCAGTCAGTGGCGTACAGACAATCCATAGGGCCCCAGTGCGAAACTGAACTGTGGCCCCCCCGCCCCTCCCTCTTCCTCTCCTCCCCCCGACAGACACACACACACACATACATACAGACACGCATACATACACACACACACAGACAGACAGATACATACAGACACATACATACAGACAGACAGGCACACATACATACACACATACAGACCGACACACACAGACACATACAGACAGGCACACATACATACAGACAGGCACACATACATATACAAAGACACATACATAAGACACACATACATGCAAAGATACATTGACACATACAGACAAGACACAAGACACACATACATACAAAGACACATACATACAAAGACACATACATACAGACAAAGACACATACACAAGACATATATACAAACAAACACAAAATATTTTAGTCACCCTCCTGTTTACTACCTTTTAGGTGCAGGAAGGTGACTTTCCCTGGGGTCCAGTGGTGGCTCAGGTTGATGGGAGTCAGAGTTTCCACTCTGACTCCCTCCTCCTTCCTTCCGCGCGGTCTGTGTGTTAGCTGGGAGGAGTGACGTGCGGTCACTTCCTCCCAGCGTGTGATGTAATCACAGGGGGCCCAGTCGCGCTGTTAAAGCGCCCAGTGCTGACCGGGCCCCCTGACAATCCATATCCATCGGGTGACACTGACAGCATGGACGGTTTGCCGCGCGGGCTGGGGCCGCAAATGGTGATGGCGCTGCTCCCAGTGTTCCCATGTCACTAGGAAACACTGTGACATGGGGACACTGAGACACTTGGGGACACAGACTATGTATCACAGTGTCTCAGTGCCCAATGTCTCCCAGTGTCCCCATGTCTCCGTGTCCCCATGTCTCTCCATGTCTCCCGGGGACACTGGGAGACATGGGGACACTAGGAAACATGGGGACACTGAGACACCAGGGACACTGAGACACCAGGGACACTGGCTGGGAGACATGGGGACACTGTGACACTTGGGGACATTCTGTCCCTAGAGTCTGTGTCCCCATGTCTCCCAGTGTCACCAAGTATCTTAGTGTCCCCA